CACTTCGTACAGCTTGATATCTTCCTCTTGTACAATCTTTTTAAGTCCCTTGGTCTATTCACAGACCTATACTTAGTCTTCCTTTGCTCCATTCTGATCATTCACTTAATCGGCTTGGCCACGATCATTTCTCATTATCTGAACCAAAGCTGTCTCGTTTCTATCAAACGTCTAAGCCTTATGTCAAGTTCCAGGAATGAGAACATGACGGTTCAGCTGGTGTGAGCTGGCCAGTGAGTGTGCAGCTAGACAGAGCTGGGCTGAGCTTACCCAAGCTTCCCCGAGCTAGGTCGAGCTGTCCCAACACCCTGTTGAGCTACCTCTTTACTCGTGTAGCTCCCTCTTTACTCGTGTAGCTCCTTTAACTCTTTTTCCTTCTTTATTTGGCTAAGTCTCAGCGCCCTGATGAACCACGTTCCTAGACCATGGTATGCTTGCCTTTAGGTCTCGTGACCTGACTGACGCGTCTCCTCGCACCATGGTCTGTCCAGACGATCATGCTCAGGATCGGGGACATGACACCGGGGATATGAATCATTCATATGTTAAATACATGGACCTTAGTTCCTCCTACAAAAGTTATGAATTTCTTGACTAGTAGATGGGTTCACACTGTGAAGTTAAACCCTAATGGTACTGTGAAGAAATTTTGGTCAAGATTGGTGGCCAAAGGGTGTGCTCAAGAAGAAGGTCTGGACTATTTGGAAACGTTTAGTCCGGTGGTTCGTACTGCAACAATCAGGTTGATGTTGAATATTACAACTACCAAAGGTTGGAAACTTAAGCAGTTAGATGTGTCGAGTGCCTTTATTCATGGGGAGTTGTAAGAGCATGTGTATATGAAGCAACCTGCGGGGTTTGTGGATCCATAAAGCCCTCACTATGTGTGTAAGCTCACCAAAGCTCTCTACGGTCGCAAACAAGCTCCCCGTGCTTGGTTTGACACCTTCAGCAATTATCTGATTGACTTTGGTTTTTTCTGCAGTTTATGGGATCCTTCTCTATTTACATACAACAAGAACAACAGATTCATGATTCTCTTACTGTATGTTGATGATATACTGCTCACAGGGAGTGAAGAAGGTCTCTTTCAAGAACTTGTGGATGTTTTATCTAGCCGTTTCTCTATGAAAGACATGGGAAGGCCCTCATATTTTCTAGGTATAGAGATGGAAACTCATTCAGAGAACCTCTATTTACATCAACAGAGGCATACATCAAAGAGATTCTTCATGCAGCATTTATGACAGACTGCAATCCTATGCCAACTCCTCTACCTCAACATGTTGAAGCTCTTGATGAGAATCTCTTCCCTGAGCCTACTTACTTCAGGAGTCTGGCTGGTAAGCTCCAGTACCTGACTATCACTCGTCTAGACATTCAGTACACAGTGAATCTTGTGTGTCAAAGGATGCATGCTCCTACTATGACAGATTTTTCTTTGCTAAAAATAAGTCTTCGGTATCTGAAAGGAACAATGAAGTATTGTCTCCACATCAAGAAGAATGACAATTTGTCACTTATGACATATTGTGATAGTGATTGGAGAGGTTGTCAAGAGACTAAAAGGTCTATGACTGGTTTTTGTATGATTCTTGGCTATAACTTGGTGTTGTGGTCAGCCAAAAGACAAGATATGGTGGCTCGTTCTTCTACGGAGGCTGAGTATAAAGCTCTGGCAGAGACTGCGCAAGAAGTGACATGGATATCTCAATTTTTGCGTGATCTGAATATTCCTCAAGATCATGCTACTATGTGCTGTGTGACAATCTCTAGGCTGTCTATCTTACGACTAATCCAGCTCTACACAAGAAGTCTAAACACTTTGACAAAGACTGGCATTACATAAGGGAACATATTGCTCTAAGGCTGATTGAGACGCGTGATATTCCGGCTGAGCTGCAGGTAGCTGATATCTTTACAAAGGCGTTACTAAAGAAAGCTTTTGTTCACTTGAGTAGCAAACTTGGCGTTGAAAAAATTCCCACACAAAGTTTGAGGGGAATGTTAGTGTGACCCAGGTAAAGACTCAGCCCAAGAAAAGTGTAAACTCTCATCCTCAGCAACGGTCATCTTCTTAGTCAAAATTGTCTTCTTATAAAACAGAGGAGCGTAGTACGGTCTTTTCTCAACAACGCCTTATCCATAACTCCTTCGCTACTCTTTTGACGTCTTGCGGTGGCTAGCTCAATCTTATCCTTTGACAGCTACTAGGTTATGTATCTAGACGTTTCTTGAACTTTTTATAAGCTCTCTTCCTTATCATTAAAGTATTATTTAGTAAAGATTCAAATCTCTCTAACCTTCGCACAACTTAATTACATGAGTCTAAAACTCTACAAAATATAAATTAATGTGGAAAAATAATAAAATATGGTATATGAAAAATGGTATAATTATGTATCATGAGCGAGTTTGTCTCAGAACAATGAAATATTAAAAAATTAGGGAAGTATTACTGTCGTCTTCTCTCCTCACTCGGACTTTATTCTATATTGCCCTACTCACTCCCATCTTCATTCTATTTTAACCCATTATAAATTTGATTTTTTTTTTCTTTCTCAAAATCAAAACGTGATTAAAAATCAATAACCCTTAATGAATTAGTATTATATGTAATATGAATTACTAGAAACTACTTTGAATTACTTTGAATTATTAGAAACTACGTCCTTGAATTACTAAAAACTACTATGAACAAAAAACAAACTACCTTGAATTACTAGAAACTACTACGAACAAAAAAAAAAGTGGGACAGTGAGAAAAATGGTGGGATAATGAGAATAGTTATTTTCTAACTGGGGTATATTAGAATACTTTCCTCTTCGCTCTCAGAGACCTAACCTATCCCTTTCCCATTATCTCTGTCCACCTTTCATATGACTCCGTCCGAAGCTACCGAGTTCATCATTGGAATAGTGATTTTAACGTTCTTTTGACTCATACTTATACATAAATCAAAGTTGATGGAAAAAAGCTTTACGAGATATCGAATGTATAGATTAAAGGCGTGAACGAATGCGTGAGCTAATTTTTTTTAACCGAAAAATTCTAACAAATTCAAGAAATAATAATTTAACATTCATTCTGTTTGAAAAAAAGAAGGAACTATGAAAATATGCATTGGAAACAATGGAGGAGGCCAGAGGAGTAGTGGCGGAGAAGTAAGGAGGCATCAATCTTGTGTATGAAGCTGCGTAAGCTCCTATGCCAATAGCTTCTCAACTCCTTAGAAGATCAATTCTTATTCTCTTCCCAGTACACTTTCATTAGTCCATTAATTTGTGAGATTATCACCATCGTGAACTTTTGTTGCACACCTAATCCATGGCTACGTTGCAACAAATTAAGGGTAAAAAATACCCATGGAACTGTGTCCTTCCCGTTCCGTGTATTCTATTTACATTTTCTTGTATTATTTTATAACACTGGATTATCAAAACGAGGTTGTGTAACTTGTGTTTGTATATATGTTTTTCTGTCACAATGGTCTTACATATTGAATTTATTTTATTTTATTTACCGATACACGTTCCAGATAAAGAGTAGCATTTCTAATAATTAAAGATGACAATCTCTATGGTTTATTTATGAAGACAAAGGAGATTGTGAATTTATAGAGTATTAATAGGTATGAGCATGGGTGTGATCACAGCTCACGCTCAAGGGACGGTGCTGGCCACCTGCATATCTGCTGGCTCTCCCCGAAGCAGATCCATAGGCGGTGGCACGCCCAGGTCCGTCAATAGTACTTCCGATATAAACAGAAAGCACAACACCACTGCGGACTGTAGTTACAGGAATAGAGATGCCTGATTTGGTTCCTTGGGACACTGCTTCGAGCTGCCTGGCGCAAACATTGGCACAAAAAACTCCAATAAAGAAAAGCACAAAAAACTTTGTGGCATTCATCATTTCAATTCAATTTTTTTATTAATTATGTTCTAGTTAAGATATTTTCGTGTTTGTGGTGAGCTGTGGTGTGTTTTACCCATGTCATAGCTCTATTTATATACACACCCAATATGCACATGTATTTATTAGGTACGTGTGCATTTCTTACAAGGAAAATGCACACTTCAATGCATTAGTCAAATTACAACTAATAGTCTTACCAGGATGTCAAATTAATTACCAGAGAAACTATATATTAGGTTTCTAAATTTGTCTTGTCATTTGTGTAACTTTCGAGCATGCATGTAATCAGTTACTTCTTCAATGTCAGAGAACTTAATCAGTTTCGTGAAATATTTTCTCTCTTTTCCGATCCTTTAACCGACGCTAGAGGATTTCATTGACTTACGTACCATCGTTGAGATATGTATAATAAATCAATTAAATCTGCATCAGCGTATATATCATTCTTACCGAAAAAATATCATTCGTTTCACTTGCTAAAACTAAAATATTTCGAAGTCGTGATAGATAGCTTTTATGCACTCTTATATTTAGTTTTATATTTTCTTCTAATACAAAATTAATTGGTAATATGTAGAATGATACAAGATGCTTTTTTAGTGATACGAGATATATTGTGAAGAAGATTTTTTTTAGAGAAAAAAAAATAAAAGTTGCATAATCTTTCTTTTAGAATATGAAACAAGATGGAAGATGAGTTTCAGACCTGATGACTCGAATGAATTAGTGATTCTTGAGCGAGCTTAGTTGGTTTTAAGTTTTAACTATATATCTTAGGAAATTCAGACGAGGACATCTATTTGTGACAAACTAAGATCGATAAAATAAATCCCCTATACATTATTTGCCAAGTGATTTTTTAAAATTCGCTTAGGTGTCATCTCTACAATGCTTCTCACAAAATAATGATGACATGGCCTCCTTACAAATATGACATGGCTCATGAAAAAAGATGATATGGCTAATTAACATTTTAATATTAGAAAGTTATATATATGTTTATCTATGAATGCCTATGAACCTTAATATTAAAAAGTCTATGAACCTTATACAAAATATACGGCATCGTCTTCTACAAAACATGCAGAGGTCCAAGTTAGTTGAAAAACAAAAACAAGTACGTTGTGTGATCTTTCTTTTGCGTATGTTCATTAACGTTGTACTTCGATCATCTTCTTTTTAAGATCACAAATTCTTTCAGGTTCACATGAACGATGATGAAGAATATATAGAAGCTATTAAAGAAACAAGTATTTGGTCTTCAGCAAAGTGTCTTCGAAAACTATTTTGTACGATATTACTTTCAAATAGCAATATAACTCCAGAAAATATATGGAATGCTACTTGGAAAATTCTATCAAAAGATATAAACAATACCTCAGAAGATCCATGTAAGATTGTTTGTATCCGAAACAAAATAATTGGAAAATTATATTCTCAATGCTTATCATATTTCATTGGTTCTTTTCTCTCAGGTTTTACTTACTCAGAAGATCAAACCAAGAGTTTAGCTCAGATGGAGATTGAATCAATGATGCGTATTAATGGAAGCTCCTTCATACATAACATATAATTCTCTTTAATTTTGTTGTTTACTAAAGATCATGTTAATGGTGATTTCTGTTTTATTAAGATGTTTACTAAAGATCATGTTAATGGTGATTTCTGTTTTATTAAGACCATGTTACGAGTTGAATGCATTCGATATGGATTGAGAAATTTTACTATTCTAATTAAAATATGATACACACGTAAATTTTACATATTTTGTTAAATGTAAATTTCGCATAAATCATTGGATATGAATCAAAATAAAAACAAGAATATACAATATGTATATATCTCATTAATAGATATACAGAATAGGAAAAAAAAAACAACTTTCCAAAAGATTTGATTCTCACGAAAATTCGACATTTTGTTATAACAGAAATTTTACATATTATTTTATAAAGTTATGATGCATTGGATATGAATCAAGTTTTGTTAAATATATTAAATATTTTTAAAAAAAATAACGTAAATTTATCTTATTGTATATACGAAAATTTGACATTTTGTTATAAGAGAAATTTTACATATTATTTTATAAAGATATGATGCATTGGATATGAATCAAGTTTTGTTAAATATATTAAATATTTTTAAAAAAATAACGTCAATTTATCCTATTGTATAAATGTAATATCACATTAATAGATAAACACAAAAGGAAAATATCAGTATAGAAATTTCACAAATTTTATATAGATATGATGCATTGGATATGAATGAAGATTTTGTTAAATATACTAAATATTTTATACAAATAACGTAAATTTACTAGATAAACACAAAAGGAAGCACAGTTTTGATCTATTTTGTTATATATATATGATCCACAGTTTTCTACTATTGACTACAAATAAAAAGTTACTCAAGTTTTCGAAACCTTATTGCAATGTCGACTATATCGCAAAAAAAAATACATTCGTTCTTCTCAAAAACATTGATCCTGCTGATGAAACACAAAAAAAATCAAAGTCAAGGTTCTGGTGCTCTGGAATACCTACAAGACTTATGAGATGGTGTTACTCGATGAAGAGATTTGTTCTAAGATGTTAAGTATCTTCGTTCATGTTATCTTGAAATTCCTTTTAATTATTTATTCTGTACTTATAGGGGACAAGGATTCATGCTCAAGTTGAAAAAGACTTAATGAAGAAACACCTAAATGTTCTGACAGAAGGTGAAGTTGTGACCATCAATGCTTTCCAGTTGACGGACTATGTTGGGGAATTTAGAAAAAATCCTCATCCTTATAAGATAACTTTCTTCAGAACAACTAAGGTGAAACCAGCTGATGATTTTCTCGAGTATTATCCAGAAAAATACTTTTCAAACTTTCAAGATATATTATCCGGAAACCTAGACAGAAACATCTTTGTTGGTGAGTTAACATATATGTTGGTACGATTTGTAATATTTCTAAAATATATAATACTTGCTTCAATATTTTGCAGATGTTATTGGCCAAATTGTCAATATTGGACCAATGGAGCAGACTAAAACACAAGGAAAGGATAACTCCAAACTTGACATTGTTCTTCGTGATACAATGTGAGTTTGTCTACAAATATTCTCCTCTATTTTATATTCGACACATATACACTCAAACAACACATGTGCAGGAACGTTCAACTCACATGTACTTTGTGGAGTAACTTTGCCAAGACAGTGATGGACTATGCTAATGAGAACAGTACCTCGGTTGTTATCTTTGTCATTAAATTTGCATGCATCAAGGAATACAAAGGTAACTTATTCTGACAGTTGAGTATATTACGTTCCTTTAGGTTCCTTTTAAAAAATTTCTTATGATTTCTTTGATTCATATGTAGGTAATATCTCCATATCGAATGCATTCATATGTATGATGATTGAAGAATTTTAGGAATTCTATAGTGTAGGTAAAATTATAATAGTTGATTTTTAAAATATTTAGTATTACTTTAGTACAACATCTATTGTTTATTTTTGCAATCACCTAGAATTAAGTTTACTCATCACGAGTTTGAAGCATCGGAAGCATTCCATAGAACACCTACATCAAAAAGAAAAGGAGAAATTGAAGATCAAAGTTCATCAACCAAAAAACAGAAGAAGGTGCAAGTGAAAGTGGAAAAGAATAGGAAAACATGATCAATTATTTATTTACGTTTATTGATTTATCATTTAATTTGATTTTGGTTTTGGTTTTATAATAATTAGGCTGGCCTATATTTTCTTTTTAATTTATCAATTTTTCTTTATTAAGAGTGCTTTCTATTAATAAAATATATTTTATTAAGAGTGCTTTCTTTGTTCGTACAAGTTAAAATATTGATTCAAAAAATATAGTCGATCTTAGCCATTATATTGGAATTATATAAAATAATTTAATACATTCTAAATGCTTAATTATGCATGTGATACAATAAGAATCGAGCATGAATGTATTGACTAAAATAATTTACTAAGGATATCTTTTGGATTACCTCCACTGTCAACACCATATGTGTTTTCTCGAGATAAGGCCTAATCAAAAGTAGTAAGTGATTTTATCAGAACAACTATACTGAAGAAATATGATTCTCGGATTACCTAATAAGGTTTTAAGGACCAAGTGCCATTCTCAAGAAAGATGGATTTCATATCTACAATTTAAAAAAAAAAATTGTATATGTACGATTTCATTATAATATAAAAGAAAATATACAAAAATAATAAGTAAACTTACAAAAATATAACAACCTTTATTCTCGGACAATTGTAAATCTTCCTTATCATTTACCATTAAAAATAAGGTCTCATAAGCTGTAAGACTTGCAATCACGAAACCCTCACAATACAATGAAACTTTCGAGTTCAGATGAAAGCAATTAAAACACAAACGATTGTTCCCCATATCCAAAACGTAACTAATAATCTAAATTCTATACAGAAACATGTAATTAGTACTAACATCACTTATCTTCATAGATGGAAGACCAAGAAAGCAACAACCTGCACCAATCAACAAAGATTATAAGCATGAACAAGATGAAGAAATATCTCACAAATCAAAAGCACCACCTCCTTTAAAGAAACGTTAGTCTATTTACTATTTTCTCTTCATGCAACCTATTTAAACAGCAAAAGTTATGATCATAGGTGGAAGAACAAAAAGAAACCAGCCTGCACTTGCAGAAATAATACAGAGCTCTACTACAATTTTTCCACAAAGCAATGAAAATATACGTAAACCACCTGCTTATCAAAATAGTAAGTACTTATTTTTATACAATTTTATTGTATTTAATCACCAACTTGGTTATTGTATTACGTTTATTATTTCAGGTGGCAGACCAAGAAAAGATAAACCATATGAAACCTCTGGAACATCGTCTACTATTAACCTTACTGAAACATGTGTGGGACAAACCTCAAAGAATGCAAGAAAATACAGAAAGCAAATTGTTGAGGAAAAAAAGAAAGGTCTGTGAAAGAGATCGTCAAGAATGGTTTGTTTCCAAGTCTGTGAAAGAGATAATATTAGTAGTTGCTACAAGTAACAATAAGAATCTTAAAACCTGTGGACGAGAAGGAATGGTGAAATCCAAAGAAGCATGAAAACAAATTTGAGAAGTTGTCGGATTATAAAAAACAGAGAACTGTGCTTTCGCAACACTTACTTTAAGGTGTTTTTATGATATTATGATCGATGTTTTATCTCTTCAAAAACATGTGTAACTTACACAAAATTACACAACATTCATTCAAGCATATATTAAAGCTGGAAGAGACTGTACAAACCGTTTCATACATAGCAATATTTTACAAAGTTTATTAAAACACAAACATACCATTACATTCATAACCTTCCATAAAAAAACAAGCACATGACATTACTATCACAAGTAACTTAGAAAAAACAACTGAGCAGATCTTACAGTAGATGAAATCGTAGAAACCGTGAATACACACATGAGTTTTTCAGAGAATATCAGTGTAATTTTTGACAAACTGGTATGCCCTTTTGAAGTAGTAACACTCCTTGCAAAACTCATTCATGTCATAACGATCACACTTTGATCGTGGGGCAAGGTTAACCATGTTTATATAGTAGTCTTGTGGTATATAAACATCGATTTTTTGGAGTGAGATCTTGAGATTTTCCCAGCATTTATCAGAGGTAGACATTTTTTTGGACCATTTCAGTTTATCCAAATACTTTATGCCTTTGAAATAGTGACCTCGGACAAGCATTAGCAAACCATAAACATACATACCGTTTTTATTATTTCCAAGAGCTGCTAGACGTAAACGACGAAGACCTTTGTGTTCTTCCTTCTTGACAAAATATTGTAATAACCCTTCAATATAGTACGCTTCGATGTTAAAATTCTGTAAGCAAAGTTCCTTTTACTTTGCATGGTCGTCGAGCATCAGTAGTAGCTGAGCAACAAAATATCCGAGATCCATGTTTCGGAAATAATGGCTGCGATCTACGTTCGAGTCTCCACTCTCCACGTCGTACTCAGAGACCGCATTCGTATCGTTGTTGTAGTGGGCATCACTGTCATCGCTGTGGTAATTCTTCACAGAGCTTTCGGAACCCATTTTTATCTCTTTTTTTTTTATACTCTCACTCTACTGATTAGTGGTGTGAAGAACATAGATGATTGCTTAAATAAGAAAGTGTAGAAGAGTATATGAAAACATAAAAGGATTGACACAAAGCAATTTCATCCCTTTATTTGAAATTGCATCTAATCTATGATGGTCTAACCCACTTACTTGAAAAACCAAAAAACAGAGGAGGATTGAAGAGAGAAGAAGACAAATAACGAAACAGGTTTGCCTCTATCACTATGTAATCTTCGAAATAAAAATATGAAAGGCTATTTACGAATTGAAGAATATTTGGGAAGTGGACAAGATAACACTGTTATTCAATGTGTTGTCACATAATTTTTCTTTCAAGAATAATGGTTCTTTGAAGATAGAGAAAAAGTTGATGTAAAAGCTGATAACACACTGATCAAAAACTAACATTACTACCATCTCCCTAGG